AGACTTCTGTGCAAATCTTGGATCTTGGTCTTGGTATTGGGCAGGAATGCATTCTGAATGCATTGAACGCATTCTGACTGCATTCCTTCCAAAGTGGACAAACAAGTCATGCAACCTACGTGCACAAATATATATATATATATATATATGGTACCCCCCAAAAAGAACAAGGATCAAAAGGCAACCCAAAATAGACACAAAATATTGCAAATACCAGCAAAAGTGATGTGAACATAGGTTTTTTTTTGGGGGGGGTACCATGTATATATATATATATAGATATATAATGATATACACACACCATCATTGGGAATGAAAACCAGCAGCCAGGGGGGCGCAGTGTTTGTTTCTCCGTTCCGCCTCGCAGCATTGTACTGGATCTGCGCGTTCCGCCGCTGCGGCGCAAAGGTCAGGAGAGACTCACCCTGAGAGACTGGGGCCGCACAGGTCGGCCAGGGCCGCAGAGGTCGGCCATCTAGAAAGGTGTACATCCGAGAGACTGGGCCGTCCTTTTCTTCCCCAAACTGGGCCAAGCGACGAACAAAATGGAAAAACGAAAAAAGCTGGCTGTCCAAGACGTGCCACCACAAGGGGATCCTTTCTGATGCTGGTGGTGAAACGTCGCAGATCGAAGAATGGGGTGGGTCACTCTCTCAATCGCAGAAGTACCCCTTTTCACACTCAGAGAACGAAATGGCAAATCAAAGCTTAAAGGGTATGCGGTATGCGATGGCTCCATGGGCATTCAGGGTTGGGCACTCATGAAAATCATCATACTTGTGTGTGTTGCCCCTGAAGCAGAACCGCCTGCTGGGGGTGGTTAGTCAGAGGAGAACCAAGTCCCACCGGAAATCCAACCACTTAGTCCTAGGGTTCCTGAGTCTGAGTAGACACTCGGAGCAATCCATCCAAATCAGCCAACAAAAAACAACAAACACCCAGGTGCTCAGGTGGAAATCGCTCCTTTGCTTCCAAAACCTCCACCCACCACTTCTTGGGGCTCCGCGAAGGAAGCAGCCAAGACAGCAGCTGCACGGCTGTCCCTCAGCTGCAGCTGGTCACGGCTGTCCCACGGGTCGAGGGGTCACAGCAAATTAAAAAACGGCGAATGTGGGTGGAACCGATGGCCTCGAGTGTCCTGAATGAGTGAAACTACAGTAGTGGAACATGAATCTTTGAAACCTCACTCTCATGGGTTTGATTGCTCTTCGATCCCCAATCAAGAACCACAGTACGAACCATAGACCCAGACGTCTGCCATCACGTGATGGCGCCGGAAAAGCCTCCTTCACCATCGCCGCACGCGCCGCTTGGGGTCCACACGTCGCCTGGAAGAACTGCAAGTAGACCGGTCCAATCATGCTGAACTGCGGAATAGCAGCCAGAGTTGGCCTCGTGGGTTCTCGGCCAAGCGACGAGAACTCCGGCTTCCTGCAGGAAAACATGAGGAGAGTGCTCCCTTCGCAACAAACCAAACACCCAGATCGGATGGGGGTTGCGAAAAGATCCTCGGCGCAAAGGGTCCATCATTGAGGCGACAAATGCAAAGTGAGTTGTAGTTGTAGTTGTTGTAGTTCTTGTTCTTGCTCTTGTTCTGATTCTGATTCTGGTTGTGGTTTTTGTTGTTGTTGTCGTTGTCGTTGTCGTTATCGTTGTGGTTATGGCTGTGGCTGTGGCTGTGGCTGTGGCGGTGGCGGTGGTGGTGGTCGTCGTCGTCGTGGTCGTCGTCGTTGTTGCTTTTGTACCTTGTTGTTTGTTAGTACCTTGTAGTTGTTGCTGCTGCTTGCCATGGCTTTCCTTTGTCCTCATTACCAGACTTGTGACGACCCAAATCCATTGTCTCACCCAAGCAAGGTCGCCATCCAACAACACTTGTCTCATGCCCTCCCGGACTCCACCTGCTCGACCTTTTTGTTCGACCTCGTTCGGTCTCCGTCCTCACCGAAGGGTCCGAGGTCTCACACATCGTTGAGCTTGACCTTCTTCGGCGGAGGCAACGCGCCCTCAACGCCCTCACCACGTTCGCGAGCAGCCTTTGCCCCCTCCTCAAGTGCTTGGGAACTCTTCTGGGTACTCCGCAGCATGGCCAGAATCAGCTCCTGCAATCAAGCTATCGCGAGTTGGAAGAGTCTGTCGGTCCGGTAGCAATATAATCTATGTATGTGTATATGTATATATATATATAGTATAGTTGCAGTACATTCCACTCTTCTGCAGCTTCTAGGCTTGCTGCAAGGGAACCAAAGTTGACGATCCAACCAGGAGTATTAATGTAGATAATTACATGAATTACACACGTATGGCATACACATAATACATCATTTGTTTAACCATCTCATCAACCTCACTTCACAACTTCCAAAAACCTGTCACGCTCCCGCTAGGTGGTACAGGTCTTGTTCCACCGCACGTGTCCGTCTCCGTCTCCGCGCAGCGAGACTGGCCGCTGGCCGGTCGGTCATCGGTCCTCGTCGCAGCCGTGGCTCCGCGCCGAGGCCAAGAGCTCCACCAAGCGCTTCCGCAGCTGCGTGCTGCTGAGATGCTCATCGGGACCTGCCGTGTTGACCCGTGGGACAAGTGGGTCGCTTCTGGGGTGCATTCTGGGCGCCCCTGCACCGGATGGGGTAGTTGATGTATTTCAAGGATGAAGATGCAGATATGGAAATCCGAAAGCTGGAAGGTCGGTGGTTCCAGAGGTGGAACATAGAACATATCATTTGATTCCTAAACTTGAAACCACCAACAACCCGCCCGACCTCGCAACGCAGGGAGAAGCAACAGAAGCGCATGGCCCGAGCTGTTGACATTCTCAAAATGACCCAGCTCTCGGGGCAGCAGCTCCTGCCGCGAACCACAACGAGCCACCACGGTCCCGCGTCGCCCGCGTCGCCCCGCGTCGCCCCGCGTCGGACCTGCCGATGGTTATCGCAACAAGCGGTTTTGGGAGGGGAAGAAAAGCAGAATCACTCTTTGAGTATAGTCATAGTCATTGGAGTAGATAGTGTTGGAAAATCCAAAAAGCAATAGGATCTACTTCAGGATAGTTGTACATGCACTTACGTCCGGATGACTTCACATCCAGCAGTCTCCATCAAGAAGTGAGCAGGGCACCCGCCCGCTGCGGTAGTTTTGGTTGCATGGCGTCTTAAAGTGAACATGCCAGAAACCAGGGGCTTCGACAAAATGGTCAAACAAAAGCCACGACGAATGTCTTGTTGTAGGCCACTTTGTCACTCATCACAACAATTCACAAGAATATGTGTTCGAGCTTTTGCAGGAAGGTGATTGGGGACACACTCCTTGCCCCACATGGTTCAATGTACCTATGCAGATTGTGTGAAGACAAGTAAGAAGTGAAGAGCAAGTGAAGTGGGAGTCGCATGATTGCGCGACGGATCCCATGGAATTCAAACATCCCAAACCACAGGCACCACGTCTGCCTGGAACCACATCAACTCTCGGCCCAAAGACCCGGAAGAACCGCCTGGTCTTTGTACTTCACCTGCACCCGCTCCTGCCATTCTTGTGGCGTTCGCTTCTCACAACGGTGAGACCGTGATCCCTCAAACTCAGGAACAAGGAAGCTACTAGTAACAAGAAGCTACTAGTAACAAAGGGCATCGCTACTAGGAACAAGAAGCTACGAACGGGGCTCCTGGCCTTACTACTAGGAACGTTCGGACGCTACTCTGAATTACTGCCTAGGAACCAGGAACAAGACCAGACCAAGGACCCAAGGACCTCGGTCCTGGGAGAAGGGAGTTACGCCAACGGTGTACGATCAAACGACGCCTCAGCAAGATCAGCCCTGCAAAACGTCTGCGTTCCCTTCCATCTTCCCCCATCGCCATCTCCTCCAAGCAGAAGTGCTTGAGAGCCCCAAGCAACGGCTCAGGATCTTGGCACATCTCCACGATCTGCATCTCTCGAGCCACCAGGATCAAATCCGTGTCCTCCAGCAGCTCGCCGACCGCATTCCAGGACGACATGCCTCAAGGAGCGAGTTGCTCGGATAGGATGAGGGATAGGATCGTCCAGGTGAGGGATAGGATCGGGATGTTTCCAGGTCTGACTCTTGGGGTTTGGAACTCCAAGAAGCACCCCAAACCAGGGGCAAACCGGGGGCGACTCCTATTTTTCAATACGTCGGGGGTTGGCAATCTGAGCGAGGCCCAGACCCAGACCTGCAATTAGGAATTCAGTCCTGCGGCTACAGACTTATGTCGATGGCTTGCGCAAGAGCAAAAGAAGGTTGCAATCTGAATTTGGTTGGTGTCGTTGCGTTGTTGAATGGTTGGATCCAAACACATCAGGGGGTACTGAAGGTACTTTCTGAGCAATTAACTATTGTATATATATATATATATATCGAAGTATATGTCCAAAATGTTCGCCATCTTCCCCATCCTTCCACTTCTCCCCGCTCCTGCCAGGTTGTCCACCCCGAAGACGGCGCCCAGGCGTTGTCCGGGGCCCACTAGATCCCCCCGCGCCACGTGCCGCAGCAAGGAGGCCGTGGGCACCGTTCGGAGGTAGCCTGGAGCCGCGACGAACGGAGCGATCGGATGCGGAGCGGTGCCCTGGTTAGGTTCGTAGCGATGCCCTTGTTACTCGAACGTGGGCTCCTGGCCTTACCTACTAGGAACAAGAAGCTATGAACAACAAAGGGCGGTCGCTACGAGAAGCAAGGACTCTCCGTGACACGGTCGGATTCGAAGGGTCGGATTCGACGTTGGAGGTCGCAACACCTCCAAGGCGTCATTGGGAAATGCCATCATGTTGGGCCTGGGGGAAAAAAGACGATAAACATTTGGGGAAGAAACCTTTTTGGAGAAGAAAATGGAGAGGTTTCATCCTCCAGACAGTCTGGCCCAGTTGATGTTGATGTGCCTTCGAGCTCATAATTGATGTGCCTTCGGTCTCATCCTCCTCCATGTCTATGAAGCTGATACTGGGCATCCAAGGCCCTTCCAAGGCTCCAAAGACTATATCTTGATTTCCTCAAATAGATATCTTTTTGTTGGACTCTATCCATTGCCTCGAAGGCGGGAAGGGTCAGATGGAACAAACGTTCCATTCCCGGTCAGAGAGACCGGGGTGAGACGGTCGGCCGTCCAGTCCACGCAGTCGCTTGCAAGACCCACTCAAGCACCTACCGCCCTTTTGAACCCAGGTCTACACCTCCACTAACCCAGGTCTACACTGTCTACACCTCCACTGAGAAGGACCGGAAGGCCAAGAAAAGAAGCGCCTTCCGGTCCAAAGTGCCCCAGCCGTAAAAAGATGGCAATGCGCCACCAAACGTCTCAAAAAAGAAGCGCGCACCTTCAGGCAACTTCTTTGCCCAGTAGTTGGGCGAAGTTTCTAAGAGCTCCGGGTGCTGCTGTTCATAATCCAGGACTTTGCAGAAGGCCTCGATTCAACGAGTCGACGAGCCTTTTGCGTCCAAAGCGAAAAACGGCTGCCAAAAACCAGCGAAAACCATAAAAAAGAGGCTGTGCGATTCCGTGCCAAAGTGAATTTTGGTGGTTTTTAGTGGAGGTACAAATCTTCCTCAAAAAAAAAAAGGGCGCTTGAGGGAGGCAAAAGAAACCATCCTCTGCCACTCCTCATGCACGTTGAGAACACTTTTGGGGCCTGGGACATCCAAGACTGAAAAAGCTGAAAAGCTGCGGTCGAACGCAGCTGTCAGACCTCTTCTGACTTGATTGAGGCAAACAGCTGTCAAGGCTCCAAAGATTGAGCTCTTCTATAACTTATATATTCTACATCTGTTGTCCATTGTGACCTGAAGTTCACCCGAAAGATGAAATCCATGCACGATATGGTCAATTTATAGATCTGTTTCACCTAAGTCATCTGGTTCAGTTTCGACCCTATGTCACTTTCCTACACGGTTTCGACCTACACGTTGGACCTTGATCTCTTTCGGCCAACACGTCAGCGCGCTGGAACCCGCCTCGCCTCTGTCCTGGGCTCCTCCCGCCTCAGCAAGGCCCGCAGGAAGTCGCACCGGGCGGCCATCGGATAGAAGACCTCACCGGTCCGGTCCGTGGCGGAGCTCCGGCACGCGCCGCCGGTGCGGGGGGGTGGACTGGTCACGCCGTGGTGCGAGGAGAACGGTTGCCCAAAGGAACAAAACATCGTTCATTCCGTGATTCACGAGTGTTCAGAGCGTTTGACCCTTGTTTCAACAGAAACCAGGCCTTGCTTGGTTCCCTTGACACCTTCCCAGAAGCTCCGAGCCTCGGCACCACTGCTCCCTGACCTCGGAGGCGAACTCGGCTCCAAAAAAGGAAAAAAACATCCAGGCTTTAGTGGCTTTAGTAGCTTTTTTCCTTTTGGATGCTTTAGTTTCTTTAGTCTACCAAATGGTTCCTTTTGCCTGTAGGTTTGTGCTCTATTTCGAAAGAAAGAAAGTCTCTGGGCAGACCCCTCAAATAGCTGGACGTCCGGTTGAGGTTTTGGTCGTTGGAGCCCCTTAGTTGGGTCAGTTGGGTCGACTCCAAACCAACCATGCCAATGAGAGGTGGATCCTTGGACGGCATACAGGAGTCAGGAGAATCTCTGCGTTGGTCTCAACGCCCAGTATCTCAACGATTGGCGTGGCTGATGCTAGCCTTTAAAAGGCTGCGCAAGACGTTCCGGACGTTCCAGACATTCCAAGACTCCAAGCATGACCGAATCTAAGGCAAGTCGAACACTTCTTGTTGTTCGCTCATTCAACCCGAAGTGCTAAACAAGACACAAGCAAGCTCTGTGATTGAGTCCATTCGAGTGGCTTGGCCGCCAGCGTCTGCTTGTTCAGCATGTAGTTGTCATGCACCGGCAAAAAGCACACCGCCTGACCGGCGCGATGCGGCCGGCATAGCCCGGGTATATAACTAGCTACACTGCTCTGTCAGGGTAAACCCTGAAACCACCGACCGACATCCCGCCCTTCTGTTGGACATACCACCTACCAGCCGCGTGGGGTCGCCGCTCCGACCACGCGCAGCCGCGAACCCGCCTCCACCTGATGCCCCAACTTCTCGAGGCGTTCTTTAGCGAAAAGCCCCAAGCGCAGATGCCCTCGATGCGGAGGATTGAAGGTGCCCGACACCTGCAGGGCAGGTGTAACGCGGTCGCCGCTGGGGAAACCAAAGTGACGATGGAATGCCCAAGCAGCAGGGAAGCAGTGTAGGCAGTGGTCGGTGGTGGTGCCTAATGTAACATTCTAGAGTTCTAGAGCTATTCCACCAGTATTTACCAGTGGTCTTCAGAGTTCAAGTTTTCCGTATTTCCGCGGATGTTCCTCGAGAGGGAAACTGTGCAGCACAAACCGTTGAGTACACTGCCGGATATATCCCTTGCTGAATCTACCCTGTCTTTGCCTTCTGCAGGAAATCCAGTTCAAATTTCAATTGCCAAGCACTGCAACTGGCTTACACCTACTCAGTACCCCTCTACATCTCCACCCGAGGCCCATGCTCACCAAGCGGCCACAAGCACATAGGTGCGCGTGTCCAAGGGGCCACACGGGCGCAGGGCAAGAGATTTCATGTTCAAGGAAGGGCAATACAGAAGTCAATGGGGAAGAGCTCAAGAATCCTAAAAAAGAATGTGCAGTCATTGGCCAACTCATATCTAGCTGATCCTAGCTGACTGACTTCTGACCAACTTCAAGCAGCTGTGTTTCCATCTGAAATCGATTTTCAACCCCCTACGGCCCTACGGCCGGCCCGGTCGTAGGGTTGCAGCGTTGGGGTCCGATTGGGGTCCCCAAGGTCAAGCACCGCCGGCGACCGTTGACTCTGCCGTGTTCACCGGTGCTTCTAGTCGCGCATGGTGACTGTCCACTTTTCATTCACCATCTTCTAGTAAGTTAGATGCACCTCTTTAATCCAAGAATTCATTGGGGATCCCATGTGGTCCGCGGAACCCACGTCTTCTGCAAGAACTTGGTCGACTTCGTCTCGAGCCAGGCGGGGCAACGTGGAGGAGATCGATGAGCCGTTGCCGGTCCGGACCGTGGAGGAGGAGATGCTCCCAACACCGCTCTCTTGGACCGTTCCGAACATCAAAGCAAGGAGACCGAGAATAAAGGACAAGGAAGAGGTGGATCATGAGCTGAGAATCTTGGTTCTTTACATCTTTATATATATATATAAGCTGAGAATCTAAGGCCAAAGCCTCCTGTATATATATATATTTATATTGACTATATTGATCAATGTTCAATCCATCCGTCCAGTGCCCATCCCGAACCCGACGAAAAAAGCTTCGCCTCGAGCCACCCCGGAAGGCTCGTAGCACGCCATCCTGCAGAACCTGCCGTTGGATCTGTGACCCTTGGGTCGTTAGACACTTGCTTATACTTATACTGTATCTATCTATATATATATATATATAGTTGATCAACCCCCAGGCCCAAAAAGTATTTATAATCCATGTCTGAGGGAGTAAACTCATCAAGAGTCAGCATGGGGTTCTTCTCACGACCCCACGGCTCCACACGTGCCGTGCGTCAGACGACCCCACGGCCCGTGGCCAATCGACCGGACCAAGGGTCTTTTCCGTCGACCTGAGACTTTCACCTCTTTTGCCGAAGTCCCCAGGTCTGAGGGCTGGGGAAAAGCTGGGGAAAATGAAAAGACATCTCAACATAACAGAAGCTGGCAGAGAATTCCATGCCAAAAGTTGTGGAAGAACAACTGGCTCATCTGGAACCCTCGAGATGATGCTCAATCAATCACCGAACTCGCCAAACTCCATGAAGAAACAAGCCATGACAGCCATACCCTCATGGAAGCTACAACACTGCTTGACCAAATACTGCCAAAATGTCTTCGGCAACGATGAAAAAGACTTCATCGCAAATCATCTCTTTGTCTCACCACTTCGTTTTTCTTGCGACCATGAAGATGTTGTCAATCCATTCAAAAGTTGGTTGTGACACCAATCCAACAAACACTTTCCTGGAGCCATGAAGCCCTTTCTTTCGAACCACTGCCTGGCGATAGAGCCCAAAATAGTTGGAAGTCACGTCCTGTCAGGGTCAACTTGTTCAGAAATGCGTTTAGTCTTTTCGGTTCATGGGGAATTCCGAAATTCCAGTGGAATGTGCTAGAAAAACTCATATCCCTTTCCAACAGCTTCTTTGACTTGAATCTCTCACTTCGCAGGATCTCTATCAGTTCTGCAGAGTCCTTGGCTGCCAAGGTCATCGCCTCATCTTCAAGTTTTCACGAGCTGTCCACTGATGTACAAAGGAGGTATGAAAGAGATACGAAGAAACGATGTATACACCAGCTCCCTGGCTTAACTGCCTACATCGCCTATGTCTTAGAGCCATAGAATAAGCAGCAAACTGTTGTCTCCCTCTGATTATATGCGTTTCTTTGCAAACCAACTCTGTCGCCTTTCGTAGGGATTTGTTCACTCCTGCTTTTGAAGAATGTTGGAACTATACGACCCAAATCCGCATCGTCTCTTGATCCACCGCAATCCGCAATCGTCAGAGTCTCATCCATTGGTCTTCACCGTTGGGAAAAAGAAAAAAATGCTCATCGTCCGTCCGCGGTGCTCCGCATGGACACTCCGATCGGAGCTCGTCCCCGTCCCTCTGAGTCGGACTGTCGCTTGACGGTCTGACCGTCTGACGGTCTGATCTTCGGCACCAAAAGGGTGGCACCATGGCACCAAAAGCCCAGTGGTTCCATGGATGTCCCATGGCACCCATCTGGGCGACCCAAGGGTGGTCGCTGATCCCTTCAGGACGGTCCCAAGGGATGCGTGAAAAGGGATCCCTTCAACGTCCTGGGATCGAAGGGATCCCAGAAGGCCCCAGCCTTCTCAGCACGCCAGGGGAGCCGGACAAATCCAGCCGGTGGTCAACCACGAGACCAAGCAGTGCTGATCTTCTCGGATTGACTAAAAAGCAGTGCTTTCAAAAGAGAAAGCACGCCAAAGGAAGCATAGAATGTATACGGCAAATAAAAAATCAGAAAGCGGAGACGAGGAGATACCAGAGTAAGAGTACCAAGAAATTTGCATAGCGACCACAAGTGTCACATCCATAATAGTGAGCCGAAAATCAAGCACTAAAGTCTTGCATGCTAGCATCCAAGCAAGCCCCCAACGCAGTCATACGGTGAGTGTGTCCACCCTAGGACATACTGCTCCGTTTCGAGCACCCAGCAGCGTCACAGAGAAGTTGCCGAAGGCAATGGAGTGAACACCCATTCATTCATAATGAGATAGGGATGCAAGAAGCTCGCTCGAAACAACGAGGCTCAAGTCACTGGCTTGCGAAAACAAGGTGATCTCCTCAGTATAGGAGCAGTCAGTCATGTTCAAAAGTGGTGCTCTCAACAGGAGATTTGAGCGGTGGGAGGTTGATGGCTACAACCTCCACCCAGCTTCGGTGTAGAGAAACGCTCGCCGTCCGATGTCACAAGGAAATGCTGTAAGAAAAAGCACATCCTGGATGCACATGGAAGGGCCCAGGGACATGTTGGACTTCCTGTCATGGCCAGGGAAGTGCCCTCTCCATGTTCCTGTATTAAAAAATGAACATGGAAGTGCCCTCTCAACTCCCGAAGTTTCGTCGAAGGGGACTTTCCTGGCGCGAACCAATTCATGCCTTCACATCGCTCGAAGCAATCTCACCCAATCCCGGCTGGAACGAAGGGGCGCGGGAGATACACTCCCTGGAACAATCATGGAAGTGGAGTTCACTACCTGTTTGTATTCGGATAATGGTAATGCAAGGGGTCATTTGTCACTTCCATTGTTATTTCAGGGAGATCTACAAAGCGATCGAAGGACCAAAACATGGCTCTTCCTGGCAGGCGCCCTCTTTCCAGATGTCTCAAACCATTGGCAATCTGGCTCCAACCATGGATGTGTCTCGCGTGACTGATGCGACACATAAGCATCTATTACCATTACTCTTCCCTGTGTCTTAAAGGTTAAAAGAGCTGACCAACAAACCTCACCACCATCTACCAGGCAGAACTAACGCTCCCCCCCAATTGGGTGCCCCCAATTGGGCCCCCGGGCATTCCGCTGCGGTGTCAAGGCGCCGACCACCATCGGCCCACCCACCTGAGCTCCGCGGGCGGTTCCACTCGGTTCTCGCGTCGTGAACGACCGGCGCAGCATACGTCGTGAACGGGGGTTCTGCAGGCAGAACCGTCCAGGCTCGCCCAAACAGCACTGGTCCATAGGCTTCCCGAATGCGACTCCGGAGGGTTCCACGGTTCAACTGTAAAAAGCCTCAGGACTAGTAGCTTCTTGTTCCTAGTAGTGATGCCAGGAGCTACTGGTAGCTTCTTGTTCCTATGGTCAATGTCAGAAGATCTCACCCACTCGACCCAGCTGTAGGAGTGGACCATTCAACATGACGAGAAGGAACCTGACCTGGAAGTGGACATCCAAAAGGCCGGAACGGTTCCGGCTGACATGCTGTGTTGACTTACCCTGTTTCTTCTCAGCACAAGAACCGTGGTCTTGGAGTGCAAGCAAAAGCATTATATACAGTAAGCACCACAAACAGCCAACAGCTCGCTTTCAAACGCATCGTGGGATCTTAAAAATCGACCGACATCGCACAACCATTCCAAATGCTGAGTTCCTCTCAAGTCCCAGTCCCAGTACCAAAATATAGACCCCTCCTGCCGAGGGAGGGACCACACCTGCCAGCATGTCAGCATTCCTCAGTGGTGGAGACATCTAGTGATGGAAGGTGATGCTCCCAAACGAGCCCTGCTCACGGTTCCATCTACTAGTATCATCTATATATATATAGTATCATCTATATATATATATATAGTATCATCTATACAGTATCATGTACAAAGTATCTCTACATTTAGGGCTAGCATGATGCGACAGAAACATCACAACTTTCTGAGCGCACTGCTTCATGCGTTCACTGCGACTTGCTGTGAAAGGCAAGGAAAAAAGTATACTGTATGTATATTGTATGATATTATATGTTGGGTAAAACCTACTGTTTTGGTAGAGAAAGGAAAAGAAAGCATTGGGAAAGGAAGGGAAACGGAAAGAGAAGCCAAAGGGAACAGGGCAAAGGGAAAGGCAGGCAAAGGAAAGGAATGGATTGGACGAATAGAATGCATTGGGATGTGTGAAAGTGAAAATAAAAAAAGAATAGAAGGAAAGAAAAAGCCAGCAAAGGAACAGAAAGGCTATATTATATTATATGTAATGAAGGACACCAAGGAACGAAAAGGATACAAAAATGATGTCAGTGATAAAATCTGTTTGGGTTGTGGAGGTAGTGCTCCAAAGGTTCTACCCTGCCAGTGGAATCTGGGCCACCTGGCTGAAAAACCACTTTTCTGGCCCAGTCCTGGACAAGGCTGGTGCTGCCAATTCGCACTCTTTCATGGTAATATTGAATTGGAAGCCCTTGCTGTTGAATCCGGTTTACCACTCCTAGTTTCAGGAATGGACACGGAATGGGCCCGACTGGGAAAGCTTACTACTCCACTCCAAACGGCGTAGGACTTGGCCAAGTTCTCTTCAAAAAAATGCGT